AAAAAACCCCTAATACCAACTGGATCTGCCCTGAAACCATCCCATCCTGGGCCAAGGTTTGTTAAGGCTCTAGGAGCCTGTAGAGTTAAACAAATACTGAGGATCACTGTCTCTGTCTGGGAGGAGACCTATAGTTTATTTCTATTTTCAAATATGAATTTTCATATTTTAATTTTGTTAAATACAACTAAACTGAAACAGAATAAAAAATGATAATAGTAACCTAGCATACTACAGGTCCCACAATCCCCAGCTGAATTCCTGGAGGTCAGATATGTTTCAGGACTCTGAAAGTGTTTGTTTGTTGGAGGTTGTACAGTGCAAGTACATACACTGCATATTATCTTATGTTACAAATGGGGTCAGAGGCAACCCCCGACAGTTTAACACATTAATGTTTTTGCAGTGAAATATATAAATACACACCAAGTGGGATGAGTAAGGAGTAAAATTATCTTTCTGATCAAGTTTGACTGCTAACTTAGTTTTGATGCCTAACTTATTTTAAAACCAAAATAGTGTTTGCCAGGGGTCAGGGAGAGTGAGGATTTATTTAATGGGTACAGAATTGCAGTTTTGCAAGATGAAAAGAATTCTGGAGATGGATGATGATACCACATTATAAGTGTACTTACAATACACTTTAAAATGGTTGAAATGGTAATTTTTAATTTGTATTTTTTACTGCAATAAAAAAATTGGAAACAAAACAAAAACAACTTTTGGTTTTCAGAACTTTTTGGATTTCAGAATTCTATAAATAGGATCATAAACCAATACTTGGATATAGAGGCCTACCCTTCTAACCCTGAAGCAATTTTAAAAATAAGGTATTCAAGTTTTCTATGCCTTGTTTTCTTCTAGCAAACAAATTAAATCATGGCAAACACTTTCAAAATGAGATGATAAAACGTTCCAATTGTTACCTCTTTTGCTGAGTATTTTATTATTCAGATAACTTATCAAGAATGGTTGGACAGATTATCCAAATGAATTTTGGTATCCAATAGGTATGTCTCTGGAACGAGTGAATCCTTTGAGTTGGCACTGAGCATTCTGACTTTTCTAGATGATCAGGATCTTCAGCAGCAGCAGGAAGACAGGAAAACTCAACTACAAACAAACACAAGCACAGACAAGTCCAAACAAAATGGTGACATGAACAGAGTCTGTTTTCAGGTTCCCAACCTTTGCTTCCCCACCTATGCCGTACCCCTGCCATCTAGGACTTCACACTTTCTCCTCAGCCCATACTCTGCCTGGTCTTTCCTCATGGAATTGCCCATTCCTCTGAAATTCCCAACTTCTTGTCCCCAAATTGAAAGTCACTCTACATCCTATTCCTGAGGATTCAGCTATTTACTTTTCTTTCTTTTTTTTTTTTTTTGAGACAGAGTCTCAAGCTGTCCCCCTGGGTAGAGTGCCATGGCATCACGCTCACAGCAACCTCCAACTCCTGGGCTCAAGCGAGTCTCCTGCCTCTGCCTCCCAAGTAGCTGGGACTACAGGCACCCGCCACAGAGCCTGGCCATTTTTTGGTTGCAGCCATCATTGTTGTTTGGCGGGTCTGGGCTGGGGATTCGAACCCGCCACCTTAGGTGTATGTGGCTGGCGCCTTAGCCGATTGAGCCACAGGCGCCGAGCCCAGCTATTTACTTTTCAAAAAATTAATCAATGCACTAATTCATGCAGATGTGCCAACATGTTTACTAGGCCAATTGTTCCTTTCCTATAGAATACAATGTCTGTTTTGACAAAGAGCATTTCAAAGGCCATGCTTTTTAACCCAATAAGGTATTTAGGGTAAGGGAATTAACCATTATTAACAACCTATAATTTTTCAGAAACTATGCTAAGTACTTTGTGCAAGTTATTTCATTTAGTCCTTATTTAACATTCCCATGACAGGTTGGTCTTATATTTTCTACAGGTGAAGAAACGGCAAGGATGAGATGAGAAGGCCATTTGTTTTAAGGTCACACAGTCATCAGTAGTTTAAGGGTGGAACCCATCCTCTTTCTAGAATTCCGCCCCACTTCCACAAAGGAGTGCCATCAACTACCCAGCAACCATCAGGGAGAGTATTTTGAAGTAGGCAAGGCCTTGTGATTCCCAAAGCCACCCACAGTCTCCTGCTATTTCCCTCTTCCCAAATTTCTATTTACCTTTGAGACCTACTGGTCAGCACACTATGCAGAACACCAATCAGGGAGGGAATATAATATAATAGTAAAAAAAAAAAATCTGCGCACAGCGGCCACACTCATAAAGTTCCCTAACAAGGGGCTCATCGCCCATAGCTCAGTGGTTAGGGCAATTGCCACATACACTGGGACTGGTAGGTTTGAACCCGGCCAGGGCCTGCTAAATAACAATGACAACAAGAACAACAACAACAAAAATAGCTGGGCATTGTGGCGGGAGCCTGTAGTCCCAGCTACCTGGGAGGCTGAAGCAAGAGAATCCCTTAAGCCTAAGAGTTTGAGCATTGTGACGCCATGGCACTCTACCAAGGACAACATAGTGAGACT